TTTAAAAAAAAAAAAAAAAAAAAAAAAAAAAAGAAATATGAATGTGAGCTGCATATGTAATTTTAAATTTTCTAGTAGACACAGTAAATAAGTAAAAAGAAACAGGTGAAATTAATATTAATTATATATTTTACTTAACTCATTATTTCCAAAATACTGTCATTGAATTGAATATGTAATCAACATAAAACTATTGAGATATTTTACATTCCTTTTTTCCATACTAAGTCTTTGAAATCCATCATTTATCTTACTCTACTAACACATCTCATTTTGGATTAGCCACATTTCATTGTGTCTAGTGGCTGCCATATTGGGCAACGGAGGTCTAGAATATTTTATTCTCACTGTTGTTTTCAGACACATCTGTTTTTTCTAGGGATCACACCAATCTGTTGTCAGGCAGATATTCCCAGCATCCCTGTCTCTTGCTTTGCTTGGTTTTCATGTTGTGCTTATCTCTTCCTATCATTTGATCCACCCTTTATCTAATTACCATTATTTTTTATTTTCCTCTTTGTTTAAAATTATTTTTAAATTAAAAAAAGCCATGTATAGTCATTGTAAAAATAAATTGTAAAGTATGGAAGTTAGTAGAGGTAAGTCATCTTTTATTTCCCACCATCTTCCTCCCCTTCACAGGGGTAATTACTTTTAATGCTGTAGTACATATTCTTCCAAACATTTTTCTGTGCATTTACATATATGTATTCATCTATGTAAACACATGTATATAGATATTGTTTTTCATATTTATCAGCACCATGCTCTAACCAATTGAGCTAACTGGCCAGCCCAATTTTTCATATTTATGTAGGTTACAGTTTTATAATTGGAGTTACTGAGTCAGAGACCATGCCAAGTTATCACATTACCCTGCAAAAAGATTGTATTGGTTGGCTATATGCCAGCCAGGTTTTTAGAGTCCTGGTTTTTAACCACCCCTGCCATTAATGGATATTAGCCATCTTTTAAAAATTTTTGCACATCTGATTGGTGAAAAGTGGTATCTTTTTTTTTTTGTGACTGGTAAGGGGATCGCAACCCTTGGTGTGGTGTTGCCCACACCGCACTCAGCCAGTGAACGCACCAGTGTGACTGGTAAGGGGATCGCAACCCTTGGTGTGGTGTTGCCCACACCGCGCTCAGCCAGTGAACGCACCAGTCATTCCTATATAGGATCCGAACCCGCGGCGGGAGCGTCGCTGCGCTCCCAGCGCCGCACTCTCCCAAGTGCACCATGGGCTCGGCCTGAAAAATGGTATCTTTTAAAAAACTTTTTGTTTTGAAATAATTTCACACTTAAAAGTTCCAAAGGTAGTACAAGAAATTCCTGTTTTCCCTTCACTGAAATTCCTCAAATAATAACATATTAGCCCTCTTGCTTTATTATTCATTTCTGTCATATTTTTTCAGAAGCATTGAGAATGATTGCATATATGATTCTTACTTTTAATAATCTCAGTGTGAATTTCCTAAATGCAAGCACATATTCTTAAATTGCCAGAGTATAATTGTTGAAATCAAGAATGCAGTACTCTTCTCTTATTTTTAGAGGTTTTTTGAATTTTGCCACTTGTCCCATTAGTGTATTTTTTCTGGTTCAGGGTCCAGTGCAAGATTAGATGTTGCATTTAGTCGTCATGTCTCTTTAGTGTGCTTTAGTCTGTATCTGTTCCTCAGTCTTTCTTTTTATCTTTCATGTTATTGATGTTGTTGAAGAGTACAGACCAGTTGTTTTGTGAAATGTTCCTCATTTAGGGTTTGACTGCTGCTTCCCCATGAATTTATGTTTTGCCCTTTTGGCAGGAGTACCACAGATGTGATGTTGTGTCCAACTCAGTGCATCTTCAGTAGCCATATGATGGTGGTTTGTCCCAATATTGGTGATAACTTTGATCCCTTAGTTAAGGTGCTGCCTGCCAGTTTCTTCACCATAAAGTTAACCATTTTTTCCTTTGTAATTCATACTTGTCTTGTTAGAGAGATACATCGAGACACATATGCTGTTTCTCATCATTCTTCAACATATTAATTTAGCATTCACCAGTGATTTTTGCCTGAGATAGTTGTTGCTTTTAGTTGTTGCCAGATGGTGACTAAATTCATTGTTTCTTCTACATTTATTTGGAATTCTACTATAAGGAAGAACTTTTCCATTCCCTCTTCCGATTCATTCTTTCATTCATTTATTTATATTTGTTTTTTTTTAAATTTTTTAATTTTTATTTTTTTTTGTCCTTTTTGAGACCAGCCGCACCGCACTCAGCCAGTGAGTGCTGCGAGCGCACTGGTCATCCCTATGTAGGATCCGAACCCACGGCGAGAGCGCCCAGTGCCGCACTCTCCCGAGTGCGCCACGGGCTCGGCCCCATTTATTTATATTTGAATGGACTTACACATTCTTATTGTATTCTCTAGGTTATAATCTCTTACACTATTACTTATTTTCTTTCTCTAATTGTTCCAGATTTGACTACTGGGAGCCCCTCAAGCTGGCTTCTTGACATATCTCCATTGTATTTTGAGCATTTTCTTATTTTCTTGTGCCACAAAATGTTCCAGGCTCATCTTGTACTTTTTCCGGCGTAAGTCTGGAATCACTCATTTCTCCAACCTCTGGTTCTTTTTTTGGAGAATGATATTTAGAAACTAACATCTGAGAACTAGGTTATTTTATTTTCTAATCACTTGC